ATAGAACGAAGAGAGCGGAGAGAACCGGAGGAGGGAGAAGTGCACGATGCACTCCGTACGCTGGTACCGAGGTGGATACTCTATTCCAGGAACGGATCGGTCGAATTGCACCGCCATCTCTTTCGTATCGCTCAATTACCAAACGTCAGTCGTCGGGCCAGTCGCGAGAATTTCTTTTGAAGCGACGACCTTTGATGGTAACAATTTGCTAATTAGATTTTCTTTTTCTATTCTTGCTTGGTCTGATAGATATCTGTGTACATGTAAAACCGCAGCTTTGTATATTTATGCGGATGTTCATTCGAGGTAACTTCAATCTGTCTGGGCATGAAACGTCTATCCCTTTACATAAGTAGTCTCGCTTTACGTAGTTTTGCTATACTTTGCTCCGATAACAAGTAACACAAAGGCCAGTTACCAAACTAAAGCAGTGTCGGCAAGTTGAACAACGGAAAGTAATATCGAAATACAGTCTGTACCCTTAAAAGTATTCGTACCCTCTACGTTGAAGAAATTTGTCTGAATTGAATGATAGATTTGATGTTTCCAAATACATTTGTTATTATAAATATATACTTATGTAAAATGAATTCGTGTACATATTTATAACGAAACATTAATTTGAAAACATCAAGCCTGTCGTTTAATTTGGACACTCCAATAGGCATGGAAGGATACGAATACATGTGGAACTGACTGTGAATAAGAAACTCAAAATACCAATTCCTAATTTTCTATTTTTCTGTTTTAATTACAGATGAGGCTGCGAAGAACTCTGCACAAACATCAAACTTTTACGAGTTTTTAGTATTACAGCATTTATGAGTAACTTTAGAAATCAATGCTTCTAAAAATAAATATCTAAAGTTTATTCTTGAAATCATGAAGAATATATCATTGAGTCAAAAATGAACCACCCCTGTTCTGCACCGTATCATCAAACATCGCTAAACGATTAGAATGAGAAGATATACTAAAATCCAGCTCGGTATGGTACTTGTATCGCCTCATATATGTACCAAACGTGAAACTAAGGATCCAATAAATTATTAACCAGAGGACGGCACGCGCGGGGGCGAAGCGTAGGTATCATTGTTGAAATCATGCGGAGAGGTTTACAAGCGTCGCACGGAGTGCTTCTAACGCGAATCGAAGAGAAGAAAGTCGTACGTATGCGAGAGAAAGTCAAGGAAATCGGAACGAAACGACGAGGTATTGGCTGCGTCCCTGGCGCTGCGGATCAGTATGGTATCGAGCATTTGTTCGTCGTTTTGTTTGCCTTGAGAAGGTATTGGTGAACGCGAGCAAGCGAGCCAGCCGAGAGCACCGGCGCTCTCGGATGCCGTTGCATCGTCCTACCCACAATGCTTTGTGTCTATCGGCCGGTTTATCCGGCGATCGATCCGCGCAGCCCTGGCTGCGACTCGCTTAAAACCTTCCGGAGAAAATATCGTAAGCGATCTCGCGTCGCCGCCAGCAACGACGTCGCTGCTATTAGCGATGATATCGTATTCGACGTCGAGTGGGGGCACAAAGGAGGGCAGAGAAGAGGAAAAAAACGAGAGGGGGCAAGAGGGAATGAGTAGAAAAATAAAATGGAGGCAGGAGGGTGAGGAGACCGTGCGAATATTGGATCGATCGGAACGGCCGTACGTGGTTCCGCTAATCGAGCAACAAATCACGGGAATTGTGTCGCGTTTCTATTCGGAAACCGCGGAGATACGGGCTCGCGGGCCAAAGCGAAAACGAACGACGCCCGCTCGGCTGGAAACTGATAATGAAGCAAAAAACCGAAGTTGAATGCGGTGTTAATGAACACACGGGGCCCGTTTTAATCACCCTATTAAATATAGCGCTCGCGACGGGGACAAGCAACCGCGCACCGCGTCACACGCCGGCCCGCGAGTGACATTTATGCTGTTACGATTCGTACCGGTAACGACGTTATTATCGCCCAGCGACGCTGAAATTCCCGCCGGAACAACTTTGCCGAAAAAAAAAAAATTTCAACGGCGAACAAGCGCTTATGAATCCCCCACTTGTCGGGAATGCGTTTGCGTTTGCATTGATACGACACTCGGTGTCGATACGACGATGGTGCTTCTGGATAGAGATGGGAGTAGTCGAATAGGAAGACCTGCTTTTAACTATTCGACTCGACAGGTGCCCGATACTACGGATGGAATTGATATTGGAGTATTAGTGTTCGAAAGGCGATGGTCAATTTAATTGTATCGGGTTGGCTATGCTTCGTGCATCTGAGAATTTATGCATTTTATGAATTCATAACAAGTACAGTCATAAGTAAGTATTCGTACTCTCTATGTCTGTTGAAGAAATTTGTCTAAATTAAATGATAGACCTGATGTTTCCAAACAGTGCATATTTATAATGAAACATTTATTTGGAAACATCAAACCAGTCTCGGAAGACAAAAACAAAATAGGAATTCCATAATTAAAACTCGAACTCCAAAAAGATGGCAAACACCTTACGACTCACAGCATAAACACTAAACGTGAATGGAAGAGTCAACAGTCGCGTTACTGAAAATCGAATCCACGTAACGCTATCGCGGGTCACGCCATAAATTTCACGGAATCTCTAAACAATTCGCAAATGTGACGGGTTCAATATGACAATCGATGCAATATCCTCGCCGCGCGCCACCGGCTGAAACTGAAAATTTACGATCAATACGCGCGAACAATTGGAGCCGTTCGCGGTACACAATGGATCCCGATAAATTGTAACCGTGAAACCGTATCTCCAGAAACCTCGTAGCCGCTGGAAATCGGCTACGAACCGTTTCCGTTCGCGGCCGATCGTGACTCACGCGACACGATTTTTTCTCTTTGTTTCAAACCGCGCCAGGTAACGAGCGAACGAAGCTGGCAAAAGACATGTGTCACTGGTCGCTGATTCCCGAGTTCCGACTTTCTCCTTCGGAACGAATCATTAGCTTTCACTTACACGAGTTATCCCAGTTTCCAGTCGATAGACGCTTATTAGAGAGGCAAAACCCCGGTAGCGCGACCACCGGGCCCCACGGACTTGGCCAGTGTTCTCTGATATTTGTATTTTGATAGTAACGTGCTGGGCTGTACCGTGTAACAATGCTGGAGGCTAGCAGTGGAACCTTGCCATGACAGAAATCATGCATCGTCTATTCGAAGTACTCGAGAATCGCAATTTGTATTCCAGTGAACGCGAACCTTGGAAAGTGTAGGAGCTACCATAACCATTCGATAATTTTCTGTAAGCTATTTATTCTTTCTCACAGGTAGCATTTCAATTTTAGCTATTCAGCCTTTTTAAGTAGCGGATGGGTTGTATAGGAAGGCAAATATAAAAGAATTCTAAAAAGAAAACGTAACTTACATTCAAGAATCGGAGGTAGAATCTGTAATTTTCATCGTAACATTACAGATTCTTTATAAACTTCTAATCAGGTGTTTGCGATGATTTTATTAATTTTTTATACCAACTTGCCGATATTTAGAGATACAAGTCTGCATGTTGTAATTGAATTATGCTATTCCCTGAAAGCTATTTTTGCGTAGGGAAACTCAAATTCCAAACATTAACCATAAATTTAATTCAGATTGCAATTTTTATCCAGCAAATACCGCATCAAAGTTTATCTCTTACTGGTGGTTCGAGCTTTCGTGCCAATCACCCCATCTTCGACGTAGAATATGACAACTCGTGATGCACCTACGCCTTGATCGACGCACTAAAATCTTCAGCTCACGCATCTGGCATACAGAAACGGTAATCGGGGATACACAAATGGCGCATCCATGGACACATAGGCGTAAGGTTAGAACGGCGTAACTGTCAGGCGTGATACATCATCGCGACGTGTATCCAGTACGCCCTCAGGGACCGTAAAACGCTCTCGAACGCTTGTTTGACTTCCATTTTCGATTGTACTCGAGCCGTAGCCTGTCGCTTGCTAGCTAAGTTTATCGCTCGCTTTACTACCGATCGTAAGACGTCAACGATTCACGGTAAAAGCACCGGCAAATAACGTCGTCCCCGTGTACGAGTATCACGCGGATCCCCGATTATGCGCGATTCCCACTGTACAGCTCCAGAAATGTTCACGCTCAATCGAAGCTCGAGGAAGTTTCAACAAGAGGAGAAACACGACGATAGCGTATACGGATTTCAATGAAACTGGTACGGAACCATAGCCAATAGATCTTTGCGGTGATTATGTTGTGATTATTTTTATAAAATTATTTCATCGATCCAATCATTTCTTGATATAAATAATCTCGATTTACGTATTTACTGCGATCCTGTGACCAGATCCTTTAACAAAATTTTCCTAAATTAATGAAAAATACCTGATGTGATAACGGTGCAGCTAGACTTAGGAGTACAAAAGGTCAAGTCTCCGAATGGTTTCCGAAGTAGATTATAACGTCCAGTAATCGCTGTTATAGCATTTCTAAATTCTCGCGTATGACACCAACGTTATGCCATCGACAATCGAGCATTGGCTCGTGTAAGGCAACACATCGCTATCACCAGGCGACAAAGTGCTAAATAGACAGATAATAAAAAGAATTGAGCTGTAGTGGGTACCATGCTTTGCATGTCTCTTTCGCAGCGGAGCGTTTGTGGGAAAGTCAGCCGGTCGGCGTTGCAGGAAATTGTAATTCACGGTAATCGATATCCGGATGAGGGGAGTTCGCGACGATAAACCAGCCACGGGCGTAATCTCTGCTGTTGGCGAATTATTTTAATGAGGCTTGCGTTTCGTTGCGATCCCGGGGATGAGTTTTCAGCGACTCATTATCGGATCGTGGAAATTACGAACGTCGTTTAGAAATTACCGGGGTGCACTCTTAAATTGCGCGTCTGCCGTCGCCGATCGCTGACGCTGCTTTCTACGGCATCGCAGCTCGCCGCCAATCACCGTGTCGATTGATATTAAAGCGAAGATTCGTTCGTGTAACGCTAAATATAATAATTCGTTGTATACATACTAGTGGATCAACTTTCACGAGGCTGCGGTAAATTTCTCCGCGCTATGCATCGAAGATAAATTGGTGCTTACCTGGAATCAGAAAGGGTTCGTTCGATCGTTACGATAGGTGAAATTACGAGTTACGGATTTCAGAAGTGACAATGTCAATTGAAATAAATTAATACGACTAAATACGAATAAATCTAAAAACAATCGATACAGAAAAGTCAATTTTCCTCGAAAACTACACTATAAATTTTGGTTTTCATTTTTTCCATACCAATTTTAGTCCAAGTTAATTCTAAAAATTAAATTAGTACAAGAACAAAGAAATAACTCAGGTCTGAAAGGGTTAATGGATGAATAAAGAATTAACGCGTTGACCTAATATCACCCATGTCATGGCAAAGATCTTCATTAAGAAACTAAAAAACTTTATTTTGAAAGGGAGGTATAACAATTGTGAATTTTGATGAGGTTACAATTGTCGCAAAATAAAGTTTAAAAATGGCAATGATTAAGGGAGGTTAAGGAAGTTATTTATTTTAGAATTTTCTCTCGGAAAGCAGAATCGTGTCCTCGATGAAACTATCCGAATTCATAGAGAATATCGACTGCACATCTTCCTGAAGGGAGAATCCATTGTGAGCCTCCGCGTAAAATTTCTACAGGTGTGAAGAGGTTCTCTAGGTGTGGCTCTAAGATGACGATTTATGATTGCTCGTTTCGACACCCCGCTGTGTTCCCGGGAGTCGGTATATGTAAAATTTAATTCAAGGCATTTTATTTTGCTCTCAACAGATCGAATCGATGTGAAGTATAGCTACGTGGGTCACAGATTAAACATTTTTACAACATTTTGTACCCGTCCTAGTGGACTCTTTGCTAAAACTTTCACCAGAGTCTGCCTTGTCGTACAGTTGAAGATTGACTTATGACAGTGATTTTCAAACTTTCTAGAGAACACAAGCAAATCCAGAGTAAAACGACGTACAAACTTTTCCTCTTCGGAGTAAAGTATCTCCGCTCCTTAGCGGTTATATTAAATTCATTCCGGCAAGTTCTAAACGATGGAATCGCCGAGTCGAAGCGCACCGAGCCTTCTTGATTCATCAGCTAACGGAGTCGAGAATAGCGAGGTCTGTTTGCAACTGCCAAGTCTGCTGCGCCAGTCGTGGCCAAGCACCAATAACACCAAGTTAATGATGTTTGTTTGACGGATTTATGAGGGCAGTGCATGCGGTGCACTGGTGGGTAAAGGAGTCATTGCACGCGCTATAAAGATACGACCTCGGGCGATCCTTCGATCGTATCGCGGAAACCATTTGCTAGACCGCAAAAACTGCCAGGGGAATCGCGCGTTTTCCTCCGACGTGTCAGGACACGGGGAAATAAGATTGATGCGAGAGCGCGATTGATAAGAAGGAAAATATTTGCCCCACGCCCAGAGGAGATTGCCCCGACGATCGTAAACACAGCCTGTCGGGCCAGGATACCTTTCGATTTGGAAAAGACTGCACCTTACGCGGTAATTTAGTCGGCTGCAGTCTTGTCAGCCATGGTACCGACTCTATCCTAGCAATCTGGTGACTCCATAGAAGCTCTCTTCGAACGATTTTTAATATAATTCTGATGGAGGAAGTACATCAAATAAAATATCATCCTACGTAATAAGAAGAAATCTTATCGTGAGAAGGTAGATTCATGAGAGCTTCTTCGTTCAGTTTCAATCATTTAAAGTTGGACACTGATTGTCAAATAAATTTGAAACTTCCTTGTGTACTTGGATGACCATCTAGAATTTAATTGAATAGCACTCTGAAACGATGGAATAAATAGTATTCATGTTTGAAGAGCATGTACGTCGCGTGAGCCTTTTTTAATAATGTAACGACCAAGATACTTGTTACCAAGACGATTTATAATAATACTGTTTATATAACCTGGAACTCCATTTTTATATGCCCTCAAGCGAAGATCATTTAGCAAAAAGACAACTCTTTTATTAACACGTTCGCTAATAGACTAACGCTCTTGAAAATTTTTACTGTGATTAAGTTTTGTTTCCAGCTTCCTATTGGAAGCTTAAGAATTTTATTTAAATTTATTTTCTTTGGTAAAAATGACACAACTATGCTGCATTTGCTAAAATTACATGGTATTTAATTTTGATTCTTTAACTATTTATATTAACATTTTCATTGAGACTCGACTTTAAAATAAAATAACTAGTATACGAAGCATTCATAGCCTAATTTCAACATGAAGTAATTTAACATAGCAATACTAGAGTTTGAACCCTCGCTTTAGGAGCATCCTGTACACTCAGTAACACGTTGCGTGAATGTACTTCATTAAAGTTGCCAGTGGTATGAAATTAAAGCGATAAAACTTAACCTTAATGACTAAATCAAAACGCAACAGTGTGTTCCCTTGACGCGCTGCACGGTAGCGTTGCTTTAGCCGTTCCATCCAGAACCTTTAAAACGCGATGAAGATAAAGAATGGTATTCGCAAGCGAAAAAAAGGACAGATGAACTTATATGCATTGCAAAGTATGCAATTGGACTGACATATAAGACTTAAGGAGGTCGGTACTCGTCTCCCATCAACCTTTCGCGGTGGCCTTTACGAATTGATGTCCCAAACGATACTCAACGCTGCAACAACTTCAAACTTGTTTTATTTCAATGGTGATTACTATTAGCAATAGTCCATACAGCTCCGTACAACCCTAATGTCCTACCGTAGAGACTATGTCGTACATCGTGTCACATTCAATGAAACAGCGTTCCGCTGAGACAGTAAGGTTCACAGCGCTGTTCAATCATTCTGCACGGTTGTCCTTACTCTTGAACGCAATTGACAGCGGTCCGCAGCAGTCAACGCTCATAAACATTTCGCGTAATCTCAGACTGCCCGCAAGTATGTCTCGTACACAAGTTGCTAATGCTATCTCGCAAGCAACGACACTTGCAAGCGCCATGCAACAGTGGCAATTGCAGCTACAGGGTGTACTCATAAAATACATCTGAAGCTCAAGTACTCGAGCAAGGTACGTTACTATAAGCTTTGCTTGGGATGTTATTTACACGAAGCCTCTCCACTTTTAAGAACAAACGAGTCTTCTCACCTTCATGCTTTTCTTCCACGATACAGCGAAATTAAAAACAAGAAACCATGAATGACTCTGGGGTCCCAAAGCCAATAGCTGCGTTAGTTACGCAACAGATCCACCCTCAAATGGGGACGACTAGATGAGTAGATTTTTGCAGCGTCGGATGCGACGCTTGAAAACAAGCGGAAAATCGGGCCGTCGCACTTTTATGCGGCTGCCGTTTAAAAACGAACAAGTCCGGGCAACAATGGAACTTATCGCGGTGCCTCGCGAGTGGTCTAATCTCGTTCTGCCAATCGCGCGTCGGCTCGAGGGAGCTGCAGAGCCACGATAAACAGACTGGAACGCAAATCGCCGGCCTCGTTAGCATAACTCTACGTTCGTCCTCTTAGATTCTTGAGTGGTTTCCGTACTCGCGACGCCTATTACTCCGATTCGTGCTCGCCCGCGGCCAATTTCCGTCAAGGCTGTTCCTTGGGTCCTCTGTTATTTAACGTTTACGCGGACGATTTACCACGTGTTTGGGATAAATACACAGGTGGACGTTCATGCGCGCGAAATGTGCGAAATTGATAGGAATTTTGTGTGCGCGAAAGTACGCGTTTTCGCTCGAAAAAATGTGCACGCGTGTATAAAAAGTATGTAGAGTATACAATATGTAGAGTACAGATAAAATAATATATTGTAATACGTATATTACATAGAATATGCTAAATGGCAATATATTATGTATGAATAACAATGACGAAGACAACGATGAAGATGATGTGTGATATAATATGTACAATATAAAAAAATAATATATTGAAATACTGATAGCAATGTTTACATATAAAATATGCTGAATGGCAGTATACGACAACTACTCGTGACGAAGACGACGATGACATGACCTATGATCTATGACTACGACTACGACTATAACGAAAATACCCGTGATGATAACTATGACGATGACAATGATGTGTCCACGTCCTGCATACATTCTGCGCATAGCATCTAGTCTGTATATTTGCATATAGAATGCAGACTTGCATAAACACCCGCAGTCTAGTAATAACTGTAAAGGTGCATACAAAGTGAACTAACTTTGCCATCATCAGTAGCAACTAATTCAACTATTGATCTAAATAATACTGATCTAGATAAAATCTCATTTCGTGGAGATCATAAATGCCCAGATATCAAACAAAGCAGCACTCCTTAATTAATAATCTTCAATTTCGATTAAACTCGATCATTAAAATTCCATTTTCAGCAAAGCCAAATTACCAGCGGATAACATGCAAACTATTGATAAATATCGATCGATAAATTAATTTTTCAATGCTGAATACTGATATTCACGTACCAGTATCCGTTAACTGCGTCAGCTAGCAGTAATAAAATTACAAACCCTCCATCGCGAAGGGGACAAAGAGGCCACCGATGGTAATTGCAACAGGATACCATAACATAATCGCATCCTTGTCCCTAATAAACCTGATCAGGAGAAATCGGATTACATATCATCCTTCGATCCAGGCGCATGTATCGTAACGAGCAAAGGCGACGAACTAAACCGTCAAGGGGCAACTACGTGTCGTGTCTCGTCTCGCAGATCCATTTTCCGCCCGCCTGCTGGGCAAACATGTTGCAGGCTGGTAATGTAACTCCATACGCAATATCGTTGTCATGGCTAATCGACACTTTGTAGGGTAATGCCGGTCTGTAGACGCGTTTGTGGTATTCCTGCGCAGTATTTCAACGATAACTATCTCCCGCGAATCGCCTTCTCTCATTAAGCACCGCGATTTCCGCTAACCTCGCTCCTTGACTTTGCACAAAATTGCTCCGTTGCCCAACGACCTTTTCATCGTAATCTCTTTACCGAACTTATGGTAAGCTGCGCTCCGTTCGCTAGCTTCGACAACGTTGCAAGAAATGCTAGTATTTCAATTGCAACTGCGATAGACATATCGTGCCAAAAGTAAAATTGTTTAAACAATGAGTAATCGAGTGAATTCAATGTATAGCAATGTATTAGTGATATTTGCTCGATCGAAGAGTTACATTTCATTTTATTAATTCGTTAAGTACTATATTCTAGAATATAGGAGGTGTGATTTATATTTTACAAAAGAAAAATGTGCCACGATCCTATTCAAAATTCAGTTATTCCGACAAATTACGCAGGTTGTTAAAGGGGTGACCCTTCATCATCTCACGGCTCTTCTATTTAAATATTTCTCCTTAAAGCAAACAGTCCCACTCTAACCCAAAACTTTTCGTGCGTCATCTCGGCCTTTGCGTCACCGCATCCAATTTACGCACTAAAACACAATTTTCTAAACCTTGCTCTGCTTTGCCACACTCGCCTCTGCTCTGAAACCCCTTAAAACATCGAGTAACTCATGTGGAAAGGACGCTCTGTATTTATACCACAGCCAGGTTCATTTCCATCAGAGATGGGTGAAATTTCAATGGAATAATAGGTAACGAATACAATCAACGTATCAGCAATTTGTTCGTGACGTTTATTCGATTGAACAATGTTTAATTGTTCATTGTGAAATATTCTATTCCACGATTCAAATTTTAATATTTGTTTACATCTAAGTTTGAAGTCGTATCAATTACAAATTTGAATTTTGTTTCAACGAGTAGCGAATAAACGAATAATAGTTATTCAATTCGTTATGCAGATTCTTTATATAAATAAGAATTGTGCTCGCCTCTTATTTTTATGCCAACGCAACACGTTTTTGTATACTTGCAAAATAAGAGATATATTTCACGAATGTTTATTGCCTGTCGCTCGCAGACGATCCACCGCTTTCATAATAAATGGTTCAAACATTGTGCAACGTATTATTTTAGAGTCGTCTTTTGCAAAATAAAATTCGAGGCGTTGAAACAAAACGTTATGGAAGAAAAAGAATGAAAATAGAGAAAGAACAAGGGGCGGCAGAGTATACGTGACGCGGTGGCGAATGGTGTACAAGGAACCAGGCCAATTTATTTAATGATGACGCG